TGGATTAGTACGGAGAGATTGAGACAGAAGGAGGTACTGGATAGAGAGACCGGGATGATTTTTAATGTGAAGACAACAACAACAACAACAAACCGGAGCTCAACCGGAGCTTTCGTTTAAGCACCACAGCGTCGCATGCCAAGCGTTATACCCCGAGATACAGCCGAGAGAGCCACCACAGCTTCAGCTGCTAGCCACCTTCTTCGTCGTTTCCTTGGAATTTTTGCTGAGCATGACCCGGCGCAAGGTGGACGAGGAGCAGGTTCGGAAGGCCTGTGCAGCGATAGATGATGACATGTCGGTTAGGAAGGCTGCTGAGGTCTTTGGGGTAGGTCGTACGTCCATCGAAGACCGCCGCCGTGGCAACGTGGCCATGAACGCGAAGGTTGGTCCCGAGACCATCCTGAGCAAAGAAGAGGGTTCGCTGGAAGATATTCTGCTGTTTGCTGCTCGCAACTTCTTGGCTGTGGATCGGGTTCACCTTAGAGATGCGGTGCGACGACTCTGCAACGACGGTCGGCGGATCCCTTGGGATCCAGAGAAGGGTCCGGGGAAAGGTTGGCTTGCGGGCTTCCTTCGTAGGCACCCACGGGTGGCGGAGCGCTCGACCCGCATCTACGAGGCAAACAAGACCACCGAGGATGAGGAGCCTCGCATGGTGCAGTTCTTCGAGAGATGGGCAGCTCTCCTCGACGAGGTCAAACCGGAGGCCAACCACGTGCACAATACGGACGAGACAGGTGAAGATTCGCTCGTAGACTTGTCTATAATAGTGCAGACTAGTCTACAGCAGTAGTAGACGTGTGGCAGCAGTAGAAACTGCGCGGGTGACTGCTGTGCAAAGACCACGAAACATGTCACACGAAAAATATTAAGCAGAGTTCTGCCCCCTTGCGGCGTAATTTTGGCCTCCTCGGCTTCAGTATAGTCTAGACTACACAGGCCGTGCTCCCGCATTCCTGCTCAAAAATGCCGAAATTGCCGCTGGCTATAGTCTAAAGTAGGCTACAGCAGTAGTTTCAGACACAAAAGTAGCGTACAGCACTGGTTCCAGACAATGTACTGCTGTAGACTAAAGTAGTCTAGAATTCAATATTTTCATAGCTGCATCGCATCGTCTTCAGCTGGTAGTTCGAGGGAACCTGCGGCGACGAACGTGTAACTAAGGGCGATTTTTCGTAGATGCATGTGCCAACACATGAAAAAACTAGACTAGACTAGACTAGTCTACACAGCACCCTGCTTTTGCTCTCCCGGTTGGATCGACCAGCTACCGCCAAAATGACGGTAGACTGTGTTCGTGAGTCTGCGAACATTGCTGTTGGATACATGTGCTGGATG